TGGTGGCAGGCTGGGGGAGCCCCCCCGGTCACCCTGCATTCTCTGGGAAAGGCGCAGGGTGAGTTTTCTGAGGCCCGAGCGACTCCGCATTTACCTCATGCAGGGGAAACGCAGCGGCAAAGACTCCCTCACTCAGCAGCCGATCCACCCCGACCTGCCCCTCCCTGGCGTGGCCGTAGGGCGTGGTGGCCAGGATCTCATGCAGCTGGAAGCAAAGAGACGGTCTCTCACCACAGGGACACGAGCCCCATCAGCTCCGTCCCGCACCGAGCCCGTGACGGCAGAGACCTGGGCCCTCAGGGTCGCAGCCAGCAGCCCCCTCCAGGCCTTTCTGGAGGCAAGAGGAGAACTTGGGTGGAACCGGTTCAAACACACGGAGGTGCAGAGATTGGCTGTCGCCCCCAACGCCAAGCCTGACTCCACGGGCACTGCAGCCTTCCCTTCCCTTCCCACCTGCTAACCCGGAGCAGCTGAAAGAAGGGCTGGTCTCCAGTCAGCCTGGTGAACGTGGCATGTGCCGAAATACATTTCACTCCAATTGCCAAGGAACACTTGGGAGAAAAGTCGTCTTTATTAAAAATTCACAACCCCACACTGCCTATGAATGAGCAAAAGCCTGACAGGGCATCTCCTCCAGGGTCCCAAAAAGCCTGAGCCCAGAGAAGACCGGACTTAACAGGCTGCACATTTCCGTTGTTAACAAACAAGAAGAACCACTGTTTGAAACACGCCCGCCAGGCCTTTCTCCGCTACAAAGCGGCACACGTGGGGGAGCCGTATTGGAAAAACACCTGCATGAGGCCCCTGAGCCCAAGGTCACACCAGAGGAGAAGGCAGCCAGGAAAGAGACCCCAAGAATGGCTGGTGTCTTACGGCGCCATGTTCTCTTTCACACGCTGGTCTCTAGCTGCTTTCCCCGGGAAGGTGCCATCGCAGCAGCCCTGCCGCTGTGCGCAGGACCTCACAGCCCTCATTTGGGTCCGCCCAGCTGGGGCCCTGCGCGTCCAGACGCTAGAGCCACAGCCGCAGGGACCGGCCGGCACCCCCCGCCCTTCGGGC